ACTTCACTTTTATTTCAATTCCCGGTCTATTTATCAATCATTTTAATATCACTGTATTTGTGTTAATAAACACAAGTATTTTATATCCTTTCTAATTCTATCAAAGTATTCCGTAATTCGCCATCCCGAAAGCCGACAAAACAAGACTTCGCAGATTAAGTGGGCGTTGCATGAGGGTATTTTCACTCCTGCACGAATCATTAACCCAAATTATTATCTGTGGGATTTAGTGTAAGAGCCTAACGTAACGCTGTTTGAATTTGGGTACATTAAAGTACGTTAGTGCAATCGAATTGAGAACAGATATTGTTGTTGAAGTTTTAGTAACTAATTATCGAATAAATATTTTTACTTTATGTTATGTTTTTAAACTTAACAGTTTGAATTAAAACGCATTGTTAAAATATAAAGCTAATAGAAGTTTTCTCTTATAGTGCACATACTTTAAATACTTTCTTATACCCGTCGCATTAGAATGTTTAATAAAAAATCGTCCGTAAGTACATACAAGTGTATGTGTAAACCTGCGTTAATAAATTATGAAGCCTTCGTGAATACAAGAATATATCCTATGGTTTATCTCAATTCCGATTTCCTACGAAACACGTTTCGTCAATGCCAGCCATATTTTTCGGTAGAGTAGATCAATAATAATGTATTATTTAGTATTTCGTAGGTCCGCATACCGTAAAGTTAGAAACCAACCCTTATAACTTGGGAATTCTCTAATCTTGTAACTTTAGCTTTCCTATATCAAATATATTTAACAGATTAAAATACGCCTCAAGAAATGCGATAAGATCGGCTTTAAGAGTAACATTTTAGAAATTTCGAATCATCATGAATTTCACTGAAACTATAGACTGTGATACACGAGTAATAGTATATTTAAATACAATTTTAACAGTTTAAAACGCAAAGTACAATAGAAACATTTAGTACATTATAAACATATTTTCAAATTATTCGTGAACAAGACTAACTCATATTTTTCGCGTTTTAAACCGTTATTATTTAAATACACTGAACTCTTCAATTTTAATAAGGATTATAACTTATGTTTCAACATTTTTACGGTATCAATAATGCTTAAATAAAAGCTATAGATAAAATTAAACCGAATGCTTTTAGCATTCGGTTTAATTTAGATTCAAGGTCAGATATTAAAAGAAATGTATTATTTTATAAGGCACAACACACCTTTATATAAAAAAATAAAAGTAGAATTATAAAATAATATGGCACAGTGCTGTTGTTGTAGGGTTGAGCCCCGCTTGTATCATAACCTTTTTTCTTTAAAATATCTTTTTAATTCCAATTGATAACAAAGCAAAACAGATCCCGAAGTAAAATATAACAGTATAATTGAAATCTTATGAAAAAAGTTATTCAAAGTAAGAGAATTTATTATTTAAGTTGCCAGAACGTAACGGAGAGAAATATCATTAAATAAAAAAGGTGTAGCACAAGATTTAAGTCATCCGGGTGAAAGTCCATCCAGCTTATTAACGTCAACATTTCATTGGTCAAAGCCGAGGCACCGTGGGTCTAGTCTAGGCTTTTATAAGCTGACAGGTACAAACATTTGGTCTAAAGTAAATAATCTTTAGTTGTCGGTATTATTTTTTTAAATTAAATCATGCATTAGTCTAAATACTGTCTGTAGTTTACGTGAGTGGTACACATTTAAGCACACTTTAACGGCTTAAAATGCGATATAATGTTGAACTGCTGTAAAAGCATACGAAACGTCGCGGTCGGGCCGTAGTTAAAATAATCTTCAAATAAGTTTAACTAATATATATTTCGTTTTAAACCGTTAAAATGTTTTATTTAAACGTGTATCAGTTTTATTTCAATAAGTATTAGTATTTCAAATCTGCCAGCACACGAATTAAAAAAATGTTGATTCTTTTGTCAAATCACCGTTCAACTTGTAAAAATAATTTTCATGTCTAATTTTTTGTATAGCTTACCTACCTAAGCTTTCACTGTTCTTACTTTGTGAAAGTTAACTTATAAAGGAACACAGTAGCTACACATCTTCATTATTGAGAAGACAGTTCGCCGCCTTTCACTGTCTTTATTGCGCTTAGATAGACATAAAGTACTTGGATATCTTTGTTGAGTTAATGAAAAGTAAATTATATCGGAATCTTTATATACAATAAAAATCAGACACACACAAACAGTATACTATACTATACTACTAGTACTATATCACATCCCCAATAGTAATTGACGGGTTCATTCGTAGGAATATCGAATATCCTCCCGGGTCACATGAAAAAGCAGTAAAGTTTAATCGCATTTCGGTTTCAGTCTGTGGATTTCCGAATATCCAAAATCAAAATAGGTCATGTTGTTGAGATGTTATACGGCTGGGGTACTCGCCTTTAATAAAATGGTACTTTCGTCTGACCTACTCGAAAAAAAGTAGCCCAATTGACGTCAGCTTATATATAACAGCAACAGTAACAGTTTTTGAGTAAAGTGCTACTTCATAATGAGTAAATAAGGAAGCAGTAAGGACTCTATTAATTGAAAATTCTTAAAAAAACGCACTAAAAGAGAACCTAACCTTTGTCTGCTTTTTTTAAGTTTAGGTACGTAAATATTTTTCCCTTTTTCCTTTATCTATTATATAAAAAGCACACAAATCTAGGTACTTGCTTCTAAATGAAATACATCAATGTAACGGACACATAAGTGTGTTTTCTCTCGCCCCTTTAGAGAAACATTATATCACACACATTTAATACTAAACAATTAATTTTAAAGTTAAGGCTAAGGTTTTAACGATGTTTTTACTACTACAAAAATCCAGACTTATCTCTAAGGTACAGACGTCGTTAAATTATAATCTCATTGTGTTCGAGATAATGCCCTCGTGTAGTTGAATAAGACTGTCGACAAATGGTTCTCTGCGAACAATGTGTCAGCAAATTGAGCTCGTCTAATCTCGTTCAACCTGTTGCTTACATATGGCTTCGTTGTGTGATGTTAAGATCACATTTTTCTCTCTTTTGTCTGTTGAAAAACACCACGTGCTCGAATTTTCAAAGATAAATGGACATTACGAAAGGTCCCAGGGATTTATTTGAATTAGACATTAACAAGATCTTCAAATACTTAGTTAATTCAACTTTGTAGGAGTATATATCACTAGCTGTGTCAGCGACTTCGTCTGCGACAATCGTTCTTTTTTTGAGCATTCAAATTCATTTTTTCAAATCCCTTAATCTTTGAAAACTTAAGCTGTTACCCACGAAGTCAAAGTTGCGTCCCTTCCCGTCGTTCGTACAAGATAATCTTAAAATATAGACATACCTATAGCGTTGGGATTTTTTATTTGGCATTTTTGCAGCGGACGCTTAGAAAATCCATGATGATGAATAATTTTTCCATTTTCTGTCACACTTCTCGCTATATCTTCGATATTAGTTATAGGACAATGTTTTATCGCACATAGCCTTCTTTGATTTGATTCCATTGAATGCTCTTACCAACACAAAAAATAATTTTCTATTTGAACCCGTAGTTTCTGAGATTAGCGCGTTCAAACAGACAAACAATCTCTTCAGCTTTATATATTAGTATAGATTGTGAATATCACAATTGTTAATTTGTATGTTAATATGTAAATATTCTAACTCTACTACTATTCTTCGCAAATAAAAGATGATTGGTATTATTTCAATTTTGTTTATTTGTGTGTGCAATAAATTGTTTGATTTGATTACTATTGACTTGCTTTAAGTGTTGTTATAACTTTGTTTAAAATATAACCTTTCCTATTTCTAATGAAACACAAGACAATCGTCTTTATTCATATTAGGTTGTAAAAATCTGACGGTGTATTAATAAAACAACAATAATTTCCACCAATTTGGCGTTACATTATATTTCTCTGACTCGGTTGCATATTAATGAAACAATTTCCATATTATATTTTCTACGCGTACAATATATTATATAACGATAAATATTTACCTGATGATAATATAGAGATTAAAAATATTTTTAAATATAATTGCGGGGATGTTACCTATAGATTTAAGATATTTGGAAAAATCCATTTTTAATTTCATATACTAAGATAATAAATGCATCAAAATATCGTAAAGTAATTAAAAATTCTACTGTACAAAAATATAATTGTTGAATAGTTTCTTAAAGGTTAGCTTTAAATAATGATAGAGGCCTAAAAATACGACTTGTATATGTAGAGGTGCTACGAAAGTGCTACGGCGTAGCACTGGCCGCCATTAAACATGTACATGTATAATGAGCGAATTATTGAACGCTTACAATGAAACTATCAGTCAATATTATTATAAATATTATAAGAAAGTAATAGATAGAATTTATGCGGAAGGACATCACAATAATGTATTTATATTCGACATAAGCATAATCTGTAAAATTTTATTACAAACTGAGATAGACTGGGTTAAAAGTAGCTTAACCTAAAATCTTTCGCTCTGCCTGCAGATTGCGTGATTCTAGGTAATAGAATTAGACGAAATGAGATAATATCTTAGAAAGAGGGAAAATTTTCTTGCTAACATGCAAGCGCGAAAATCTTTTAGTATAATTGTGAAACGAGTAATTTTGAAGTGAATTTACAAATACAAATATTATTTATTGTCACAAAACAAGAAAAAAAAAACAACAATAGATAAAAATTAAGGACTAACGGCGGATTTATAGATAAATAGGTATCTCTTCCAAGCAACCGCGGTAAAAAAAAAGGAAACTCGGTAATAAAAGAGGTACGCGTTTTGTTAATTTAGTTTATAATCCATTTACTTTCACACACACTTGTAGATAATGTGTGTATAGAGAGTGTGAGTGTGTTACATACTACCGTTGTGTTCAAGAGAGTTTTAAAAATGGAATATACTCTCCAATACAATTATAGGTTATAATAGATATTTTTTTTTTAATTTCCCTTCTATCTCAGTTTGTAAATACAATCAGTTTCCGTTATCGCAAGTTTAGTTCGTCAGTGGATGCCATTGTTTGACTTGTTCCATGGGGTTTCCGATTGCTGTGTTCCAATGTTGTAGGGCTCGACCTCTTGCAAACATATAGGAGCCTAGTACGAATTTGCCCAGCAGGCGATCTGAAAAAAAACAATATCCGATAACGATGACGTCAAGACAAATAATTATTTGATCTTTTATAGACTAAATAATAATAGTCGTATCGTAATACTACTCTATCTAGTCTAGTGCTAAAAATATAGGTTTTTAAGATTAGGAGAAATGTGAAAAAAGCAAAGGTGACCGCCCCGTTGATATCACAAGAAAGGTCTTGGTGAGTAGGTTTTTGTATTTTGTCATGTTTTAAATGGTTAAAAGTATTTAATAGGCACCGTTTATGTAACTATAGATAATACAAATGTATGGCTACTAAGTACTAAGTCGTGACTTCAATTCCCACCAGGGCAATATAGTTGTAAATTAAATTTATTCTGAAATTATTATTATCTGAAGACTAAGTTATTAAAGCATAGACGATGAAATAAAAGTTTAATTTAACAATTTTTGAAGCCAATATCAACAGCGCATCTTTATTATATGTAATAGAGTTTAATTGACTTTCTATCAAAACACCATGTCAAAATGGAGCTGTGCAGTTTTAGCTTTGCAGTAATTACGAAGTCAGGTTACATAAAATAAGCTACTTAATTTTCAAACACGTTGCATGCAAACGCCGCCATTTGTCTATATTATATCGTTCTGTCTTGGGGTATCGTTAATTCGTGCAAAGGGTATATAATTATGGGTTGTGGGGTCATATGTTATGGCGCTGTTCCTGAAGCCAGGTGCTTGTTTAAATAAATTTATTATTAACGATGCTCTTAGGAATCAAAACTTTCGAAACGTAAAAAGGTTTTTATTAAAAATTATTTCTACTCTCGAGAAGACATGCTTTATAAAAATGTTTGCAGTGTTAAATTAAAACACTTAACGGTTTTAAACGCGTAACGTATTAACTTATTTACAATTTGTGTTAACTGTTGCTGCAAATCATCCAAAATACCGGGTCACAGTTAAAATAAATATTACGTTTCTGATACTTATTTTTAACTCTATTTCTATGGCGTTAATCAAAAACCATACCGTTTTGATAAAGAACCATAAAACGGGCTTAGAACCGGCTCTCTTTGTCTTCTCAAGTAAAGGATAGAGCAATTATAGCAAGAGGTCTACAGAACAAACTTTAATCAATTTTAAGTGTTTGTTGAGTAACGTAACCACTACTTAGACATATGAATAGAAACATTTCCTAAGTTCCTATTTAAATATATTCCTAGGATGGAATTTTTAAAATCCACTTTTTTGTGATAGAGAAGGACAGACAAGCTTGTGTTAGGTAAAATACACCAGCCATATGACATTTTGATAAGATGTGCTGTCAACCTATTGTGGCTTTGGATATTCGGAAATCCGCAAACTGAGTGAAACACGATTAAACTTCATTACTTCTTTATCTATGGACGGTGGTTTGTGAACCGGATGGAATATCGATATAACAGTGATAGGAGTGTGAAAGCCCGTTTCCCCCCGCGTAGGGCATGGGGCGAACACATTTCTGTGTCCGTTTCACCGATCCGTTCTTTTAAGGGACAAGAAGTTGATCAGACTTCTGTGCCCTGCCCGACCGAAACAATTTTTTTTCCCTGGGAATCGAACGAAGGACCTCTTGAACCATTTGGCTACAGAGGCGGTCATAGGAACACCCAATTAATATCCAGATTTCCAGGCTGAGTAATTGTTTCAGAAAAATTATAAATTGATTAGAAAATGTTGGACACAGATAAAACTCACGACCCATTGATTATTACAACAACAAGACCATAAAAAGCAAACCTAATAGGCTAACAAAGTAGTCTATATTACTCTTAGTCTCGTAAAACTTTCGAAGTTCACCTGTGACATTATTATGAACTTTGAACTCTGCTTGTGGGTTGTGGTCTTTTACATAGAGTGGGTGACGGTAGTTGCAAATATGTAATATGATGCGCTAAATTAAAATGTCATCTTAACTAAATATAGTGCCTAAATAATTACTAAAAGCAATGTCAATATATAAAATAGATGAGGGTATTTTTAAACAGAACACTTTAACGGTTAAACTTATTTGAAAACAATTTTTGACTTCGGCCCGACGTTTCGGATGCTTTACAGCGGCCGTGGTAACGGGGAGAATAAAAACGTAGAATGACTATTAGTCAGTAAGTTTAACTAATATATATCGCGTTTTAAACCGTTAAAGTGTTTTATTTAAACGTGTACTACTCGCGTAAACTACAGACAGTATTCAGATAAGGGTAGTTTTGAAAGAAAATGTTTTTGTTAGAAAAATTGACGTTCATTTCGGAATTACTTTGAGTATAAGTCTTTCTTGTGCACGATCATGTTGCTCAGATTTCCATCTCATAAACATTCGCACCTAAGGCAACGTAATTTTAAATCGATATAAGATATTTAATAAGACAGCAGAGAGGAGGTTGGAAGCTTTAGCAGTCTTTGGCAAGAGAGCTTCGGACTAGTTGTATAGATTAGCTGTCGCTGTATCGTAGTTGTTTATCAAAGACGTACTCACTATAGTCCTTGCACAAATATTATTGCGTCACATACATATTTATGACGTCACAGATTTTGACATAAGACAAAGTCTTGTTATGTTAATAAATTGTGTAAGGCTTCACGGCCATTGTTCAGCATATTGTTTTTCGGGCTGTTCGGCCGACGTAAGCGAGAAGAGATTTCGATGTTATAACAACTTCTGATGATGGCATCCGCTCGTGATGGCGAAACGTCTGGAACCTCTTCTCGCTTACGACGCCCGAAAGCCCACAAACAATGATCTGCAATACTGTTAATATTTTAGAGGAAATATTTATATTTTAGTAAGCGAACGATTTGGATTGGAAGATACGACAGAGACGGAACTTGAACCGGCATTTACAGCGTTCCATGCTGCTGCTCTAACCAATTGAACTACTTTGTCCTACTCGTTGTCATCGATTTTTTTTCAACCTATAAATACTTGCACCTTTCACTTAATGTAATTTCAAACTTAACTCTTACAAAAGCTTTAATTTATTTATAAAATATAAATTATTTAATGGCTGGCAATTATAATTTTAGCTTATATGCGTCAGAAAGTATAAGCTACTTTTCGTAAAAACGCACACACTTTGTATGGAAAACTATTATAAACAGTTTCATAAAACAATATTTCATGCTTGTAACTCTAATTGGGTAATAAAGTAGATTATATCGCAGTTTTAACATTTCGTACTACTACAAGTAATAGTAAACATTAAAGTCTATAATAATGTTTAGAGGTTTTGTGGTTTTTATTACAATATTATTGACATAAGTTAAAAACGGAAATTAAAGACCAATGTTATCTTTAAATGAAATTATATCATTCATCTTTTTTATGATAAAGGAAGACAGGCAGACTTGGGTTTCACTTGACGGTGGTGTAATATCAGCTGCGCCGTCGACCTATTTTGATTTTGGATATTCGGAAATCCTCAGGTGTTTCGTGACCCGGACGGAATTTTGATATTCCTACAACCTACACAAAACGTGTTGGATTAACATCCAGATTTCCAGACTTCCATCATCTTATAGAACAATCATAAATATATTTATAAAAATGTTGGACACGGCGGGGATCAAACCCACGATTGATTAATATTAGCGTATACGTGGCCAGTGTGTGAAAATCTTTTTCGCATTCGATTTATTATTTGTTTACATATATATAATTCTATACCCTTTAACAACGATAACGTTTAAAACTTTAAAAAATAAATTATTTTTTTTTTGGTTTTTTGTAAAAAAAAACTTATTTTAAACGATTTTTAAATTAACGATAAACTTCTGTATTACCATCGTGAAATCACAATTTCATTGTCTTACGATTACAAGTCATTACTCTAGTATTTTAAACCATCTAGCTCAAAATAGAAGCAATTTAGGTGAGAGAACGTACACTAATTCACATTTAGGTAATTGCTTATGTAATATGTACGTTACGCTACAACTGAACTCCTGAATACCTAACATTCTATTCATATGCAAAGATACTCTAAGCATCGTTATGAGTCGGGAATGACGCGGTTTTTGATATACAAAAATGTTTCGCGGGTTTTCCTGCTTGATTTGGAATTTGGGGTGTTTGTTTTGTTTTTGTATATCCAACGACCGATTTTAACAGGTATTTTTGTATAATGTTCAAACAAACAGACACAATTTTATTTACATATTTCAATCGAACTTACTTATGTTTTTATGAACAATACTGCCTAGAAGAGGATAATATAAACCTGTCACACTTATTTGTTTTTTAAGCTGCTCTAAGAAATTTAATTTTTTTGAATAAAACACTTTTAATGCGAAATGTATTCATTTTAAATAGTTAGCAAAACATTCGAAATGTCGAGTCATAGTTAAAATAAATTATAAAAGGTTAAGCAATACATTTCGCGTTTTAAACCGTTAAAAGTTATTTTAAATTAGTACTCTCGTAAATTGCTTAATACTACTAAAATATGACAGTGCTCTGGTTATCTATTTATCGTTTTGCCATTCGAAGTAAACACCCCAGCCATATAACACATCAACAAGATGTGCTGTTGTGGAGTTGGATATTCGGAAATTCACACCTGAAACCGTAATGTGTTTCAGAAAAAATACAAATTAATTAGAAACATTTTGGAACCGGTAGCGATCGAATTAACCCAATGATCATTAGCCGTACATTGCCCGTCAAAATCATACTATTTTAAACTAAATGAAAATAATATAATTACTATTGTTCTGGTATAAAATATTTCAGATATCATAATAAGGATTACGTCTTAACCTGTGGTATTGACATGTATTGTGGTTGCAGCTAAGCTGCTATAGCTGTTACCTTTAGCCTTTATCTTGTCTTAAGCTGAATAATTGATATGTCGACCAAACCACTTCTAGGTTGACCTTTGGAATTAAAACAATATAGAAGGATTAATAGTATAACTTTAAGATCTTACATAAGAATGAAAGACACACTAGCTGATTGCTTTAAGAAGGTTAATCTTCTTTTTTGTAAGTGATGGTTAGAGAAAAGACAAGAATGAAGTGGACTAAAATGCCTTAGGTTAAATGTTTTCTTCCCTGTTGAAGTGCAAAAAGGTCTTTTTTATTCATAGAAACATAATAATTAGTCTTAGTCGAAAGTCTGATTCGATTTGACGGAGTCGTTGGTTAATTAAAGGGTCGTGTTTAATTCCCACCGGTTCGAACATGCTTCTATTAATTTATATATATTTTAAATTTAGACTTTACCTGGAAATTGAGTGGTAAATGGTGGTAGGAATAGTCAAGTCAAAGTCAATAATTTATTCATGTCGGTAACTAAATATACTTATGAACGTCACAAAATAATTATAGAATCTAACTCATTCTAACCACGTCCTCGAAACAGATAAAGCTCTCGCAGTCACTCCTTTTATCGCCAAGTTTCATTTTACAATTATAAATTTCCACTGATCCACAGATAAAAGCCATGAAGTTCAATCGCGTTTTCGTTGCAGTCTATGGATTTCCGAATACCCAAAGCTTAAATAGATCGACAGTGCATCTTGTTTATGGCATTATATGGCAGGGGTTTTTCATCTACCATCAAGTGAATTTCTTACTTCTCTGTCCTTCTCTATGATAAAGAAGTGAAAAAAAATATAAAATAACATAATTATATCTCGTTATATATTACATATAGGTTTTAAACTTTAATTGTCTGAATTAAGACCGCCGATCCCTTGAAAATCTTCTGAGAACATTTTTTTCGTAGTAAGACAAAGTCGACTTTTAAACTTCGATTTTCTCAACTAAAGATAAAATTACGCGCTCTTTTAATTCTTCAAGAATTGTTTAAAATAGTCCACAATACTTACGTTACTTAAGTTCGTTGCGTTATCAAGAAAAGCTATTTCGTAAATATGTTTTAATACACCCATGTTAAGCTATATTATTATAAAAAAAATATTAGGCCTAAGTTTTACTACATTACTGACGTAAAAAATGCTGAAATAACCTTACAGCGTCTTTGGGTAAATAAGGTTGCATGCCATCCCTCTCTCCTTGCATGCCATGCCTTTCTGTCCTCCTCTATCATAAAAAAATCACTTATAACCCCAAGCAAGAACAAATACGATTTCAATTATAAATTGAAAAAAATCACGAGTCGGGCAGGACTTGAACAGGCATCGTCAGCTCTCCATGCTGTTGTTCTAACCAACTTCTTATCGATTTTTCAATTTATATCTAGTGGCATCATGTACACGTAAAAAATATTAAACTTTTCTTATTACCTTTTAAATACTCGTACCTTTGGCATATACGGAGTGTGGCTGCAGTGCTTGCACTGTCACGCTGGTGGTATGCAACTCATCTGCGCGTAATCTGAAGTTGAAGCACTCTGAGATGAGAGCGTTCCCATCTTCGGAGACTTCCACCGCGGCTGTACGACGTGCGCGGACGCCACGACACGCTCGTTCTTGGGTCACACGCGCCACCATTTCCCTTTTGCTCGTCGGGTCAAGCTAAATATAAATTTAAACGGTTATATTGCGGTGATTTAAATATTAGATGTTTTCGTTCCAACAGTGCAATTGACATAAATATAATCGTTTAAACTTCGCTCAACAGTATTTCTACAATCCGATAATACTTGCTAGAGACAGACTGAATATCAGCTCTCGCTAAGCGCTGATTTTCAGTCTGTTTGTCAGCCTTGCTGAGCACAAGCTGAGTCTTATGTCTCTTTGCTCAAAGTGTAATACTGTAACTGTAACTGTAATGTATGTTTTTTTATTATTTATGTTATTTGTAGTTAATGTACGTATTTCAGTGTTAATAAACGAATTATTTAGTAATTATAATTTCCGGGAGAATAATAGTGTCGGTCGCCTGTAAATACTTTCCATTAATAAATAATGCCCTACATCCCAAATAGGACAAAAGAGTTTATCAAGAATTGGTTATCCCTCTAATTACAATACGATTATAAGCTTACAAACTTACTTTGAGGCCCCTTGCTTCTATCACAGTCACGGTGAGTCTGTGAAGATTTTCATTATACAACAATGAGACCTGGACCTCACCGAGGTCTGATGTGGGTTCTTGTACGTCCTAGGGCAAAATTAATAATAAATAATATAAAACACTTATGCATGTAATCTATGGAATAGCAATTACGGAGTAGTGTTCCACTTCTGTACAAATTCTTTTTTTAATCAAGAAATATATATGAGGTTCACGGAGAGGAAATAATTGAGATACGTTTCAACGATGCGCAGTCATCCTATTTTAATATTCGGCAAACAACAGTCAATCTGTGGACGGGGTTCGTTACCCGGATTTCAAGTAAATAGATAGATAAAGTAATTTTTATTTTCATTGCGTATTTATATTGCTATAGAACAAGGCAGGTAATAAATCTACCTTAAAATTGACAGTGGTCAAGGACTTACGACCTTATCTCTAAGGATTGTCTGCAGGGAATACACAAGTTATTTAAAAGTCTTTTACATACAACGTGACCTTTTATCGGGAATTTATTTATAATTAAACAGCGAAACATCGCATACTGAAGTTATTTTGACTTAATTTTGAATTAAAATATATATGAAAGCTTTAATATTTCATGGCATTATATGAATTAAAAATCTGTTGAGATTAAAGGATTTACGACAGGAGGGACTTGAAACAGATTATTTTGAAATTTGTATTTATAGTTATTAATCGATCGATAAATTTGTAAATGGAAAAGTATTTTTGTTCCTTTTAAAAAATTTCACCGTAAACGCAAAAAGGATGTAACACAGGATTAATTCTAAAATTAGAGATAAAGATAAGCATTATACCTTCTCGATATCCATTTTATACAGTTGTGGTTCTTCATCCGGCGCCACCCCTTCCAATTCGCTAAGTGGCAGAATGATGTGGCCAATCAATGGCTTGTTCCTGCCAACACGACCCGTGTCCAGTACTGACAACTTCAGCGTAAGACTTTCCAGCTTACCGGGCGGTATCTACGGCATAAAACATACAATTTCAAAAGCATTACTTAAAGTTGAAGTCCATAGTCAGTAAGTAAGATATATATCGTCATTATAAAAACATATAAAATCAATATAAATAAGGACGATTCAATTCCCAAAAGAACGTATACTATACTAATATTATAAAGCTAAAAAGTTTGTTTATTTGAAAGCGGTGATCTCAGGAACCATGTTTGGACCATGTATCGAGGACGGTTTTTAGAAAGAGGAAAATGTGGAAAAAAGGGGAAAGTATTCATCTTAGAAGACTCCATTGAGTGCGCTGCGAAAACGGTTCAAGACACCAATAATAACGCATGAAAGAAAGGTTCTCCGTGAAGTCATGTAAAAAATGTCTATGATGTATATGTGTATATATATAAGGTATATGTCTATCAGCTATAATTTATAAATCTGAGGAGGTTCTTTGTAAAAACAAATGATTTGGTGCCCAAAATAACAATTCCATGCGGAAGAAGTCGTGGACACAGCCAGTAAAATATATAGTATATACTTAGACATAACAGAGCAAGATAAATAAGAAGGTTGCAATTAGACAACAGTTTTTATATTTAAATATGTAACTAAACATATCGAACCTTAACTGTTGCAGGTTCGACTCCCGTCGGCATTATAAAGTTTTTCTTGCTATAATTATATTAGGGCAGTTTAAAGAATAATAACACGAAAATAAAAAAATAACAGAAACATAACAAAGATAGAAAAAAAATTGTTCAATTACGTCTACAAAACAGAATAGAATATTGTTAAGTATTTAGTTTTTTTTTATTGTATTATTTATTACTTAGACAAAAATGAACTGTCTGTAGCTCATGCGAGTAGTACACCTTTTAAATATATCATTTTTAACGGTTTAAAACACGAAATACATTTAAATACTGTCCGTTGTTTACGTGAGTAGTACACATTTAAATAAAACACTAACGGTCCAGATGCTTTGCAGCAGCCGTGGTCTCCCCGTGGCAAAGCATCTGAAACGTCGGGCCGTAGTTAAAAATAATTGTCAAACAAGTTTACCTCAAATATATCGCGTTTTAAACCGTTAAAGTGTTTTATTTAAACGAAATACATTTGTTAACTTATTTTAATATGATTTCTTTATGACTTGAAGTCATAGTAAAGGGGGTGACTAAAGGTAAAAAGTGTTCCTTATGTCAAAGTTTGAGAACTTAAGATACATTTAAGAAGAGTAATCTATGCAACTCTAACCTGGCTTAGGTCGAACTAAGGCCACTTTCAAAGGCGAGTGCGGTATTAATTTTGTTACAAAGGAATTTTTCATGAATAAAAATTGCACGTTACAAAGAATCTACATCTTTATATCATTGATACGGTTTCACTGAGGCAAGCGGCCTCTTAATTCGCTTTGAAGTTTGCTGGGAAACATTAATTTACTCTGAGAATTATTTCATGGTAATAAAATTATTTAAGAGTAATAAATTCGAAAACTTTAATATGTTTTTACATGATCGCATTATATACATTAAAAATCGCTTTTTTATAGGAATAAATTTACAGCCCTAGTAATTAATGTATACTTGAGTACTACACGTATAAATAAAACCCCTTTTAACGGTTTAAAACTCAAAACGTATTCCCGTAACCAGGTCTGAAAATTCGAAACGTGGCGCTGTAGTTCAAATATATTGTGACAAAAATAAGTTCTCGTTTCAAATCGTTTAATTTAATTTAAATAAAAGGTAGGTAAAACATAGTACTAATGAAAATAAATATATCAGATATTGTTTGTATCACATAAGCTACGTTGATAACTAATTTTAAGTTAAATGTCGAGGAAACAAGGCTTTTTTAAACGTATGCAGTAAAAAATCTCTTTGTTAAATAGCTTTTTACCCATTTTATTTAAACGTATTAATTATTACCCAACGACGCTGTAGGGTTATTTCAATCTTTATTACTTGTCAGCAAATTAGTAGACTAAGGCCCGATATTTTGTTAATATATGTAAAAAAAAATCTTGAAAAAGCTATTCTTTTAAAATTAAATTTTTGAAACGCGTAATTTTATCTTTAGTTGAGAAAATCGAAGTTAAAAGTCGACTGACTTACTTACTACTAAAGAAAATTTCCGCTTTTCCTTAGAGCTCGTATTTCAGAAGATTTTCAAGGGATCTTTACGGGCGGTCGTAATTCAGCCAATTAAAGTTTAAACAAGTTACCTGGGCGAAGATAAAAGTCTTTTATGTGGTTGAATTTGTCTTATACACCACATGTCACCAGCAAATGACGGTATTTTCATATGTGGACGGACGTGACGCGGACGGAATTTGAATTCTAGCACTCATCTAATGTCCAGATTTCCAGGCTAAGTGCAACATGTTTCAGGTGGGAATCGAACCCCCGACTCGTTGCTTAGCCATACATTGCTATCTTTACACCAACGAGTCCGTCTAGTTAGTGTTACTTATTCAGGTTGTAACAGTAAAAAAACATTCCTTATTATAAACTAACTGTGCCGACTTCGTTCGCGTGGAATATTGAGTAAGGGTAGAATTTTTAATTATTTAGGCTGTATATTAATTTATGTTAAGTTAAGGGCGCATTTAAGGCAGCCAATCTATGTTGTAAGTGCTACTTTGCCGCAACACTCTCACCTCACATCACTCCTACTCTAATTCTCACTCCCACTCCTATTCCAAAAGAAAGAAAGTTTCATTGTTCTGTTCTAGCTTAAAAAACCACGAATTTCCATACAAACTTTCACACCACCACCACCCCCTTTTAACCCCTAAAAACCGCCTTTTCGCAATAAAAAGTAAGTTCTTTCTCAGGGTCTAGACCACGTGTGTACCAAATTTTATTCAGATCCGTTCAGTAGTTTTGGCCTCAAAGAGTAACAGACAGACAGAGTTACTTTCGCATCTATAATATTAGTAAGGATTAGGGACAACCTTTGCTTAGACCGGTACTAAAAAACACTTTTTAACAGTTTTGATTGCGAACTAGATTGGTTTGTTTATTTTTATTGAAATAAAACACTTTAACGGTTTAAAACGCGATATATTAGTTTAGCGTTTCAAACCGTTAAAGTGTTTTATTTAAATGTGTACTACTCGCGTAAACTATAGACAGTATTTGTTTATTTATAGTTAAAATCAATTGACATTAATTAATGATAATATGCTTACATTAAAGATAATGACGTAAGTTGAATTTTCACGATCAAAGATACTATTTTAAAATTAAACAACACATTGCACATACAAAAGAACCTAAGAAACAAATGTAGGAGCGGAATTTTATCGAGGTCAAAATGCACAAAGGAAGGTGAAGGTTCAAAAGATTTAACGCAATTTGGAGGAAGCTGAAATAAAAATTGTATGTATAATACAATGGTTAAAATACATAGTACAGGAAATGCAAATTTTGAAATAAGCATTGAAAAATGTAATATTTTTTACATTATATAAATTAAAAATCTATTTAAATGAAAACACGAAAGAGACTTGAACCGGTATTCCCAGCGGTCTAACCGTGTGTCATTTCGACCAAAAATAATTACCATAAAATCTTAAATGATAGACATACTGGCACGGATATTTTTTTATATTATTTTAAGAACAATTTTTTTTCCTATTTTTTTCATAACTTTAACCGTTTTCGGAGTGCATGCAACGTTAACTTAAATTTGACCGTTTTTTCCACATTTCTACTAATGGATACAGGCCGACGTTTTATAGCCTATCTCGATAAATGGTCCAACCAACACAAAAAAAAAATCAATGTGAACCTAAGACTTGGGGCATTCAAACAAAACAAACTCAGCTTTATAATGCTAGTGTAGATATAATAAAAATGCTATTTACAGCAACCGCCTTTCCTGAATCAATGAAACAGCTAAAACCAAATTAATGTAAAATTCTTACCTGATACACAAACGTCTCATCAAAGAATGGGTTGCAAGTCTTTTTCTTCTGCTTCGTTTGCAGAACTCTTCTCTCATCTGGCATCAATTGTATTCTGTTGAAAAGAGCTTTATTATCTCACTCATGTATATTTAAATATCGTAGGCTTCCAAGTTTTAATTATGTTGAAATGGTAAAGTTATTTTCTTGTAACCTAACGCTTACGCTGAACACGAATAAAAGATAATTAAATTTGCAAGAAACAAGAAATAAAAAAAGGAAATTTTCAAATTTGTTTCCAAGAATCTGTTTTGGTCAGTATTCGATATTTAATTTTTTATCTGTAAATCTTTCTAATATAGATACAGAAAAGTGATCGTTTCCCACTTAAGGGAAAAAGGAGATTTCACTTTTAAAAGAAACTTTGCCGCCTTCACGGAACTGACATTAAAACACATCTACTTCAAAGAAACTCTTAATAAAGTTATCATGCTAATACCCCGCTTCGTTGGCGTGTTAATACTCGTACTAGTCTTACGGATTTTATTCCTAAGAGAGCTTTCAAAAGATCTCAAGGTGGGCGGATGTAATTTTCTATTCCGTATGCCTTTCGCAACGGGATTTTACAGCCAGTGTAGTTTTCAGTATACGATTGTTAGTTTAAATAGAATCCTGTAAACGGTTTAAAAGGTATATAATAGGTAAATTATTTAAAAAATAATCATACGACCCTACGTTTCAAAGGTTTTGCAACAAGTATGGTTGATTAATAAATATATCGCGTTTCAAACCGTTAAAACTGTTTTTTAAGGGAAATGTGAGTAGAAAGCATGGGGGCTTGTCCGTTCTTCTCTATCATATGAAAAATATGAAGGAAGTTTAAAAAAAAGCGTTGCTATAATATAACTCAATAAGTAAAATAAATTTATAATTTTTCATTTCATATATGCTAAGCAGAACCGTAATTCAAGTTTTTCATGAACAGTGAAAAACTCAAACTACCGACAGTTAAATTCTTTATTGTCTTTGTGCCTTTTTCTTGCAGGCTCTACATAAACATTTAAAGCGCTCGTTTAGCTTTGACATTTAGGAGGGAAAACTTCGTCGCTGAAAGTTTGTTTTCAATCGGTTCACTTATTTTCCGAGCTAGCTTCTTTAGGTCTGCGTAACAAAGTTGACTTTAAAATACTAATTGGTAGAAAATTGATTGTGCTAGTAAATTGAATCATTTTTAACTGATGAAAATGAGAAAAAATACTTGTGATTCTTAAGGTTTTAATTAAAACTAACAATAACTTGCACTAGAATAATACATTCACATTATTTTTTCAATCATTGTCTACAGTATCTTCAAGTTACTTTAAAAGTCTAAGCCTAAGGTCTAGAAATTAAACACGTCTATAGCTACTGTTTAGTAATGATAGGTGTTATTTATTTAAATTATTTAATTATAAAATTATTTAATTATTCAAACACAGTACTACACACTTAAAGGCTTTATCCAGTTTACTGCCTAAATTGAGATAGTACCGTTTGAAAGTTCGATTCCCGTCCCTGTCATATTTCTTTAAATACTAAACTCTTAATAGCCCGGAACGCTATGGATGCCGAGTCAACTCCTGCCCGTGTCGTAATATTTTTAATTTTTAAATGATTTTAAATTTATATGGTGCCATCGTGTGCAATAATACGTAAAAAAAATTCAAGTTTTCAAACTTAACTCAGTGTGAAATTTACGTACGCACAGTTAATCAAAATACAATGCTCACTTGATGTAAGGATCGCAGGCGTTGGCGAGAGCAGGCGTACGCGACGGCAAGTGTTTTACTTTGATGATGTGGATTTGAAGCCTCTCCGTCTCCGCCTCGTATTTCAGCGTAAACCACACTCGTCCCTTAAGGGTAGGCATAGTCAATCATGAACGTATGAAACAACAAAACATTGTTTAAATAAAACACTTTCAACGATATTAAAACTCGAAATGTATTTAACTTATTTCCAATTTATTTTTACTACGTTTGGGATGCTTTGCAGCAACGCTGGTCACTGGGGGATTTACAGGTTTTAAACTGTTAAAAGTGTTTAAATATATAATACTTGCATAAACTACATGCATTGTTTAACAAAATATTGTATTTAGCCTTACCAAATTGTTGTCGTCTAAAATACTTCCAAGTACAGTTGTTAGGATTAGTTGGTTGTAGCATTCTATTTAACACACCTAATTTTACCTCAAAGTTTTTTTAGTTATGAATCTTATGTTTCAGTATTTTTTATTTATTTCTTTTCATTATTTGGGTTGACAGAAAGAGATTCTTCTTTACTCTATCGGAATATATTTATGTTCCCATAATAATTCCGAGAGAATGTCTATAATTCTAGAAATATACACTTCAAAGGGAGTAGCGCGTACTTACTTCTCTACAATTTCTCAAATTTAAATTTCGATCGAAATAGCATGCTAAAATTGGGTTCTAAACCTGAAATTCAATCTTCATAATAATTTTCACATTTCATTGAATAAAATATCGAATCGCTTTCCAATGATATTAGATTAAGCTCAGAAAAATATTATTTTATTTGCACTTTTATTACTCCGAGTGTATAACCGACGAATTTTATTACGTAGAAAAATATGAACCATTATAGTAACAAGTACTGGTACTGTAATAATGAGAGAAAATTTTGTAAAAAATTAAATATATGTCTAGATTTAACAAATTTAAATAAAAAGAAAATGTAGATAAGGCTAGTTATATTCAATTACTTTTAATATTTTTATTATTAAATAATAATATTCAAAATTGAATAGCTACGAAATAAGTAAATTAGAATATTAACTACATGGTTTACATTTTTTATCGACCTACAATAAAAAAAGTAAACATGCAATTCTACAATACAGATATATCAACTAATAGCTTAGTTACTACTAGTTGTATTCGTAAGCTATAATCTTTCAAATATAGAACTAATTTTTAAATAGAGAAAGCATTTTTCAAATATGGAAGGAAATAGAGAAAATACTCACAACATGTCCTTCCGGCCATAGATAATCTTCGACGTGGCAATCCGCCTTGTAAAGTGCCGGATCTAAAACTCCAATCTCCGTCGTGTTTGCTGAATAAAATAATACTATCAAAAATTTTACAGCTTAATACTAAATTGCGAAAGAAGGAACACGACTCATTTTAAATTTAACAGGGATTCAGTTGGGGTGCAGTTAAAAATTGCAGTAAGTTCTGGTTTTAAACAGTTAATTACAATCAACCTGTAATGGGTATTAATATAGATTTGTTATATCCCTGTATTTATAAAAATATAAAAGAAAATCTTTGCAAAAGCTTAAGGATTAATGGTAGCAATGTATGTCTAATTATTAACGGGTCGTAGCTTCGATCCCCACCTTGTCCATGATTCTAATTTATAATTTTCATGAAACATGCTGGACTTCGTTTGGAAATCTGGATAAATGGGTGGTAGGAAAATAAAAATTCCGTCCGGTTCACCAACTGAAAAAACCGTGAAGCTTAATTGCGTGATGGTTTCTGTCTCTGCATTTCCGAATTTCCAAAACCAAAATAGATTGAAAATGCATCATATTCAGATGCTATAGCCAGGGATATATCACCCACCATCAAGTGATGCCATGTATGCCTTAATATATCGCGTTTTATACCGTTAAAGTGTTTTGTTTAAATAAGTTATACTTGATAAATATCCTATTTTAAGAACACTATTCATAGGAAAACGGTATATACTATATATTTAATATTATAAATGGGAAAGTAACTCCGTCTGTTTGTCCGGTTTTAACTCCGAATGTACTGAGCTGATTTAAATTAAATTTGGTAATAAAATTTTAATGCCAAAAAGGGTTGACAGGGGTTGAAAAAGGGAATAAAAGTTTGTATGGAAAATTGTGGTTTTTGAAGCTAGAACAATTAAACTTTCTTCTTTGGCTTTTGGGAATAGGGAGTGGGGGTGGGAGTGGGAGTGGGAGTGAGGGTAGGAATGACAGTGGGAGTTAGACTAGGAGTGATGTGAGGTGAGAGTGTTGCGGCAAAGTATCACTTACAACATTGATTGGCTGCCTTAAATGTGCCCTTACTTAAATTAATAAACAGCCTAAATAATTAAAAATTGTACCCCAAATCACTATTCCACGCGGACGAAGTCGCTGGCACAGCTAGTTAATAATAAAACTGAAGCAGCTGTGTCTAATCAGTACCCAGAGCAATGACCTAGCTTAATTACATACGAGATCTCAACACCTCGAATTTCGTAATTGTACTAGGAATTAACTCCGTCTAGCCACCTGATGCTGTTTATTAGACTATTTAATAATTAAATCTAGTTTTATCCTAACCTTACGGTTAAACTAACCGCTCTATATTTAATTAATTCGTAACATTAAAGAAAAGAAAAAAGAAAATACAATGAAACGTCGGGTCATACTTAAAATAATTATCAAATAAGTTTAACTAATATAAATCGCGTTTTAAACCGTTATAGTGTTTTATTTCAGTTTCAGTTCAGAATAGTGACTTAAAAAAACAATTCTTCGTAGATAGGCTTTGTATAGTTCTTTTCATGACAGCAAGTTTAATTGTTGGACTATGGATACAAATATATGTCTGCAAACACTATGAGACAAGGGCGCGTATAAAGATAATAAATATATGAATATATGTATAATACTTTGTGAACAACTATCCAATAAGTTAACTTTTAAAAACATTTTATTAACTATGCTACTTCTTCCTTGATTGTAAAAATATAAGTGTTTTATTAAATACGAATGGTTCTAGGTTTGAATCCCAAGGAGTCTTTTAGTCATTGGTTTCGGTCAGGTAAGATATACAACGCTAGTGATGTACGTTATATTAATTTATTTTTTTTACCATAGAGAAGGATAGATAAGAACGGGATACAAGCAAGCCTAATGGATGGAATTTTGGTTTTGGCTATACGAAGGGGAAATTACGTGGAGACTTTGGAAAATTTTCTGATCCTCTGATCTTAGTCACGAACGTAACAAACAGTGTATACACCACTTTACGATAAGGTATTTAGGTTTAAGAGGGAACCCTGGGAATACTGCTATACCATTAAAATAAAACACTTTTAACAGTTAAATGCGCAATATATTAGGTAACTTATTTAGACTTTATTTCAACTACGGCCAGACGGTGACGAAGGCTTAAATGAGTAAAACAAATGAAAAATAATTTTACTTATATATTTTGAGTTTTAAATCGTTCAAAATATATTATAAATATATACTATTCGCGTGAACTAGTCTGTAGTTATATATGTTTGCACCACTCTGAGCCTCACAATTTATTCAAAGATCTCTCGAATTATCCAACAAAAATTTTCGTAATTCAAATTCATCTAACTCATCTTGAAAATTATTCGCTTATAAATTGTTGAAAGTTTTGAAACGGATAAGATATTGCTTAAGTCGTGATTTAGTAGCTTAGTTAAATTAATATCAATCTCTAAGAGATAAATTCCGAATGTGTAATTCAATATGAGATGTAATATTAAATTACTGAATTGCGTTGAATATCAAGTCTATACATCTAAATGCGAGGTCTACAATTTATATCTAAAATATAGACAGATGTTAAAGACATTAAAATAAGCTTTAATATTTTTAGTCTGTTCCTGTAATATTTGTCTGTACGTTGTCTGTAAAAATAAAAGACAATACTTCTACAAGTAATCAGTCCGCCGTCTGTGTTTTAACTAATAAATTTATCTATTGAAATAAAACCCATATAACGGTTTAAAACGTCATTTATTCGGTAACTTCTTTACAATGTATTTTACTACGGTTCGACGATTTAGATGCCTTGCAGCTACGCTTTGCAACGCGTTTTAAACTGTTAAAAGTTTTTCATTTCAAAGATGATATTATAAGATGTCTATGTACGTGTTTCTCTAAGCTTGTCTGTACTTTCTCGTGAAAAAAATAACACGAATAAAATGTTACGAAGCGTTGAAGTTCCAACATATACCGTACAGCAATGACACTTGCAACAGAAACTTGACACTTGCAACGCGCAACAAGTTAGTTCTACAACTTAGTTTATAGTTGGATTTGCTTTGATGTTGAGAACTTGTATACAAACTCCATATCGAATCTAGTATCAATTCTGCCTTTGAGCGTTAAATAACTAGATATTTATATATTTTTAATTATAACAGTTGCTTATACACACAAACTGGTTTATCAGTCTATATCCAGATAAAACTGAAGAGTGTTTATTGGAACGAGCTAATTTCAAGAACTATTGGTTCGAATTACAAAAATATTTTCGTGTTAAGTAGACCATATATTGAGGAAGGTTTTATGCTATATAACATCACGCTGCAACTAATAGAATCGAAGAAACAATGGGAAAATTTATTAATCTTTGAGGAATTCCCTTGCGTGTGCTGCGAATGCGGTTTAGAAACAAAGAAACTTGCTGCTACTATAAGAATAATGGTATAGACGACGGAACAAGTCAACGTGGTGGAAAACAGAACAAAGATGCGATGTTCAAAAAATATTTTTTTTAAGCCCATTCTATTGAATGAAGTAGCGAGCTAGAGATTAATAAAAAACAAAAAAACATTATAATACAGGTAACAATTTCTGCTCAATCATGGTACATTTATTTACCTTACGTAAGTACTCAATTCACAGTTCGTATTAAGTAGTGTAAACTTTAATAATTGTTTAAATAAAACACTTTAACGGTTTAAAACGCGATATATTAGTTAAAACTTATTTGAAAATGATTTTTAACTTCGGCCCGACGTTTCGGATGCTTTGCAGCAGCCGTGGTCACGGGGAGACTTAAGATGGAGGATGTCTCTGACGTAACAGTAAAAAAAAAAATGTTTCGCCAAATA